TTACAATATAAAAGTATAAAACAAGTTTCGTAAAAGCATTTGATATCTAAAAAAGTTTTTAAGACAGTTTGAAGTAAAACAGTTTAGTAAAACAAATTGAAAGTAAGAGATTCACTTGTCGATAATTATTAATCACATGTGATTGAGATAATAATTATCGTAACTTTACTTGTATCCCCCCCCCCATAAAAGTATTTATAAACATTTGAAAACATTTAAAAGATTAATTTAGGGGTATGAACTCACCTGTAGTGAGTGGATTGGATTGAAGTGTCGGATACGATGCTAGGTGACAAGTGGAGACTTGTACACACACAACGAGCCTAGTTATCATATAATCAATATATAAATAACTAATTAGGCACTTTATCTCTAATAATTTAAGTTAATACACTCTAGAACATGGTAACACTTTGTTTCAAGTGTTAAAGATCACAAGGGTTGCAACCAAGTGTTGTAGGGCATAACTAGTGAGTTTGGGGTTCAAGGAAAACTCCATTAGGGAGTTTACGGTTTTGTGGTCATAACCAAAAGGGTTTACGGTCGTAAACCCTTGGGTTTACGGTCGTAAGCTCACCCTATGTGTGACCATTTGTTGTTTGAAGCCTTCTAAGCTAATCCAAGCATTCCTACTTCATGTTTAAGCCTTATGAAGTGTTGTGTGGCATCAATACACTCCTAAATCGAGTTTACGGTCCATGGAACATTTATCCATGAGTTTACTGCCGTAAAATCCTATGGAACATGGTTTTATGATGCGTTCAAGTTCTAAACACTTCAAGGTAATAGCCAAGGTTAGATTTTAGGCAAAAGGAAGGAGTATGGGCCATTTATACCCACATTGGGGTGTTTACGATTTTAGGAGATCCCCAAACCGTAAACACATATAAATGAGTGATTCTTGTGCTTTTTGTGTGATAAACTCATCAAGGAAGGATCTAGACAAGTCTTAAGGCATTGTGAAGCATCTAGGCACCCTAAGGCACCCTTTTGCACCTTACTTGGTGTTTACAGTTTTGGGAGCCTCCCAAAACTGTGAACACCTTGTTCTTGGAGTTCTTGGGACATTTCCTTGATATTAAGATGTATAGCAAGCTCTAAAGGACTCTAGGATAGAAGTACTTACTTTGTGGAAGCTTGAAATGAACTAAAAGTGCAAGAACACTAGTGTGTGTTCTTGGTGTTTTGGAAACCTAATCAAAACATAAAATGGATGGATGAGAAGATTTATAATCACTAGTAGTTATGATACATCAACTAATCAAGTCAAGAAGTACTTACGTTTTCGGGAAATCTGGTGAAAACCGGGATGATAGTTGAGAGTGTTTGGAGTTTACTCTTCAGGGTGAAAATGAGAAGTGATGTACTTTGGGGAGTAAACTCTTGCTTAAGCATGAGTTTACGGTTTTTGGGGTAGTTTACGGCCCAAACATAAAAGTTTGGTCGTGAACTTCTAAGCTACATGGTATTCACGGTTTTGAAATTTCAAGACCTGAGACGGCACATCCTTTCACCCGTTCATTTAAAGAATACATTATTATAATAGTCAAACTAACTTTAAATTTGTTAAAAACAAATAGAAATGAAATTGACTTATAAAATGAAATGATTGACTTTTAGGGTTTGACCGAATAAAAATTTCGGGTTGTCACAGGTTTCAGCACGGGCGAGCCGCCGGAAACTCAGGATATGGTAGGTTTTAGGTCTTAGAAGGTAGGAGTAGCTTTCAAGGGTTGAAGGTTTGGGTGTATTTTCGGGATAGAAGTTTTGTTTTGGGGTTTTGGTTGTCTTGAGAAGATTGTTTTACACATAGAATCATCGTTTGCATTCCTTAGATAATTTTTTGGAATATGGGTATTAGTAAGGAGAGATTTTGAGGACGAAATCTAATTTAAGTGGGGGAGAGTTGTAACAACCGGTTTTGAAAGTGCTTTGTTACTTGGGGCTGCGGCCCAATCTTCAGTTGCCCACGGGATTAGGGCTTCGGGAAAGGAAGGATTTAGCCTATTTTGGATGTAGTTGACATGGTTTAAGTGATCCATGCATTCAATTGTGTCTTCAGAAGCCAAGGGTAAGACTGTAAACCGATATCTCGATCTTTTATGGATTTTGGGTTCTTGTTCAGGATGTTTTTAGGTAAGGGTGCATTGTTATAAGCGTAGGGCTTCTCCTTACCTTTCCATAGATATAAAGTTCAGTGGAAACGAACTTAGAACAAAGGAGTTATGACCGAAAGAGATTCTAGGGTTTTGAGGATTATCTGGTACATAGGTCGTACTGGTCGTGTATGCGGGGTATACATGGTGAGAAGACCGCATGTTCTCCATGAATACTCCGGGCGTACAAAGGGGTACGCGAGGCGTACTCCCTTCAGCGTTAAGCCCTAATTTCTCGACTTATGCCCTTTATAAGCAACATTCTATCCTTCCTTGGGTCATTTCAGGTTAGCCTCGACCCCTTTTAGCATTATAGAAACCCTAGAGTGACTTGAGTGAGCTTTTAGAGCTTGGAGAAGAGTGTTTATGGTGATTTGCGTAAGAGAAGAAAAAAGTTTATGACTCATTTCTTGGAGGGGGCTTGTAGATCTAGAAAGTTCTCATCTTTTGCAATCTATTGGAGGTAAAAATCTTTGATCTTATCTTATCATTTCATAGATCCTCTTTCGGGGTTTATTCTTAGCCATTTAGCATCTTGTGGGTGATTCTTGTGAGCTCTAGTTGTTTCAAAAGTTGATATTGTGGATTTGGACGTTTTAGGAGTCCCAAAGGCATAAAAATGTAATCTTGTTGATTTATTTGGATTCGTGCATTTGTTAAGACCTTTCATTAAGCTCTTTTGAGCTCTTGGGTCCCATTAAGTCATATATGTAAGTAAACTATCCAACTTTACATACTAAGTCACCCATGGGAATTAGATCTGAGAGTTTGGGCAAGGACTTTAGTGATTAAGTGCTTTTAGAGATGGTTGCGATTTAGAGGAGTACGTTGGGCGTACCCAACTGGTATGCTGTGCATACTAGCCCCAAGGGGTGTACATTGGGCATACCAGCTGAGTATGTGGGCCATACTTGATCAGATTTGGCCTTTTGGATTGATGAATTTTTAGGCTTTGGACCTTGGACCATGAGTTGACTACGGTTGACCATTCAATATTTCAGGCCTTTTGGATATTGGGCTTTCTTGGGTTAGTTCCATGATGGATTTGGGCCTTATTAGGCCTTACGGGCCATTTCGGGTTCAGGCTTTCTTTTGGGCTTGTAAGTGCATGGATTCTGTTGGACCAACTAAGGATGTATGTTTGGATTAGGAATAAGTTATTGGGCTTTTGGGTAAGGCACATGTAAGGGTTTGGGCCCAATTTGGAAAATTATGCTATTAGTGGGCTTTCATGGATTTGTTGTGGTTTTATATCTTATTGGACTTGGGCCTTTGTTATGAATATTATTGGGCCAGGGGTAAAATGTTCATTTTACCCTTAGTATAGATTATAGATCATGGTTTGAAACCCAATTGCTAATTGGGTGATATTTTGGTGATGTTAGCTCGGGGAGTTGTTATGCCAACATCTAAGGATTTTTGGTAGGAATTTCAGTTGTGCGAGGTGAGTTACCTTCCCTATATGACTGGGTCGAAGGTACCAATGTCGGCCCACTACTAATTGTTTATAGTAAAGATGATTGTCTTTGTGATAATTGTCTGGTATGCCACTATTTGTAGAAATTTATGTGCTTGTATGCTATGTTATTATGTAATAGCTGTAGGAGGGGGAAGTAGGCTCTGTAACCGGTTGAAATAAACCGGAGGGTAGGTCGGGCACCCAGATATGTCTGAAAATATGTTTATGATATAATATTATGTGGTAGTGGTAGGGGTGAAATAAACTCCGTAACCGGTTGAAATAAACCGAATGGTAGGTCGGACACCTAGGTATGCCTGACAGGGGTAGGTCGGACACCCCGGTATGTCTGACATGGGTAGGTTGGGCACCCATGTATGCCTGACAGGGGTAGGTTGGGCACCCCGGTATGCCTGACATGAGTAGGTTGAGCACCCAGGTATGCTCAGCAGGGTAGGTCGGACACCTAGATATGCCTAACAATATGTATATTGTATAGTATGTGGTATGATGGGAGAACTCACTAATCTTCGTGCTTATGGTTTTCAGTTTTGGTTTCAGATACTTGCTCTTCAAAAAGGAAAGGATCTGACATGATCGCATCACATCACACTATGTTTTCCGCATTATGAGATCTTTGGGAGTTCTACTCTGATATTACTTTTCTATGACATGTTTTGGGTATTTTGCTATTATGAAATGAGTTGACATTATTGATGTTTCATACTAATGATTTTTATAATTACGTAGTTAAAAATAAAATTTTAGCTCTAAATTTTGAAATGTTACAAAAATCAAAAGTCCATTACGCTTTCAACCCATTATCCCTAATAATGGTTTTCTAACAACATCCTAAGTCCTTTCCTAATTACCTTGCTAAATCATAATCTTATACATAGTCTTATTATACATTACCACCCCCACACATGTGGGAGTGATGTTAGTGTCCGGGTAACGTCGGGTTGAAACGTGCCTCAATGTCCGACGGTTCCGTTAACTGAAACCTGCGCACCAATCCTCCCTTCCCTTTCTCCTGCAGATTTTGTCATTTTCTCGATTAACCCCACTACAAATAACCCCTCATCCCTTCTTTGCTTCAAATCCCACTCAAACAACGAAGGTTTAGCCCTGATACTCTACTTCCTTCATGCTCTTCATCATTTCATCTTTATGCTTATTTAATTCATCCGCATTTGGTTCTAATCGTTTATGAAGACATTTCCTATTTCATATGCATTTTAGTGATCGTTTGTCCAATTTATCTTCCATGTTCATGTTTATCTTCGATTTCGTTCCATTAGTTTTACATTACGATTTGTTTTCTTTTACGATTGCTGTTCGTTTAAGCGTTTTGAAACCCCGTTCACGAGCTTGGCGTTTTCATAATGCTTTTTCTCCGTTTGGGTTTCTTACAGATCATTGAAGATGTCGAAAGGATCTGCAAATTCCGGTTCATCTGCCCCACAAGCGATGGCAGGCTTCGCTTAAAGAGGTAATTGCATAAACTCGCAAAATTTATTATTGAAGAAAACTATCTCAAAAAACTCCAATTCCACTATTACAGGATCCTATCAGGCATCTATATATACCAAACAAACACATTAGTATAAGCCTAGGAAACTGAAAGTAAACATCTAATACTTTCCAAATAAAATAGTCCTTATTACTCAAGGAACCTATGAAACCTTGAACAACACTCCAAGGTACTTGGACAGCACTCCAAGTTATCGCCATCTGGGTCAGAACACGCAATGCTCCCATATCTGACTCAGATATTCGCCAACAATCACCCCCTTGAATTTTTGAGTTGAGGGTAATTCTTGCACGCCAAGCAACACTCTCATCTCTGCGAACCTTATTCGAGCTAAGGCCTTTGTAAGTGGATCTGCTCGTTGCTTATCTCCTGAAACATGCTCAACAATCACTTGCTCATTTTCAATACGTTCTCGAATGAAGTGGAATCGAGTGTGAATGTGCTTGCTTCTTCCATGAAAGACAGGATTCTTTGACAATGCTATTGCTGATTTGTTGTTAATGCGAATCAGCACCTTCTGTTTCTTCATTCCTGTTAGCTCAGCCAATAACTCCCTTAACCAAACCGCCTGACACGCAGCTGCAGTAGCTGCCATGAACTCTGCTTCACATGATGACAATGCTACTATATCTTGCTTTTGGGAGCACCAAGTGATAGGTGAGTCACAAAGGTAGAAGACATGCCCTGTTGTACTTCTGCCATCATTAATATCTACATTGTGACTACTATCACTGTAACCTATCAAGCTCATATTTTTACTTCGTTTGTATACAATCCCAAAAGATAGAGTACCACGCAAGTAACGAAGAATTTGCTTAATAGCGCGTGCATGAGATTCTCTTGGGCTTTGCATATAACGACTAACTACTCCAACCGAATATGCTAAATCTGGACGCGTGTGTAAGAGATATCGTAAGCAACCTACTATTTTTCGATAATAGGTAGCTTCAACTTCTGGTTCATCTTCAGCTTTTGACAACTTTAGTCCTGGCTCCATCGGACATTGAGTTGCATTACACTCTTGCATGCCTGCCTCTTTTAGAATCTTCATAGCATAACTCTCTTGCTTCACCTTTACACAACCATTTTCTTGCAATACTTCAATACCCAAGTAGCAAGTTAGTTCACCAAGGTCTGACATTTCAAACTGTAATGCCATTAGTCTCTTGAATTGGTTTATAAACTCTAAGCTTGTTCCCGTTACGAACAAATCATCTACATAAACCGCAACTATTATGTATTCTCCATTTGCAACCTTTCTATAAACCGCATTTTCTTGCATGCACCATTTAAAACCCATATTTTTCAATGTGTTATTAAGCTTCAAATTCCATGCTCTCGAAGATTTTCGGAGACCGTATAAAGCTTTTGCCAATTTGTAGACTTTTGTTTCTTCACCTTGCTTCACGAAACCTTCCGGTTGGCAAACGTACACTTCTTCCTTTAAATCTCCATATAAAAATGCAGTTTTTACATCTAAGTGATGAATCTTCCATCCGTTCCCGACCGCGAGAGCAATCAATAATCTTATTGTCTCGAGTCGAGCTACTGGTGCGAATACTTCATCAAAATCAATGCCTTGCTCTTGTACATAGCCTTTTGCCACTAGACGCGCTTTGTACCTTGTAATCACACCATTTGTATTTCTTTTAATTTTATACAACCATCTTAACCCGATAGGCTTAACATCTTTAGGCGGAGGAACTAATTTCAATTAAAGTTTTGAAAACAAGAATGCAAAACAAATAACCAAAATAACTCTTTGATTAATTGGAAAATCACTCAAAACCAATGTTTTTACAATCTATTCTCATAATCATAAACTCGATTATGGACACATATATATAGCCTAACATACCAACTTGTATTAGACTAGGAAACTTATGACCAACTTGTCATAAACTAATATTTCCATAAATTAGATTGCTTGGACCCCAAGACTTAGGATTCCAACAATCACCCCCGAATCTCTAAGTCCTTCTAGAGATTTCTTCAACCCCGATCAACATCCTATTATCTCTTTTCACCACCCCAACCTCTTTATCAAGCTTGTTTTGAGAGCAACTTTCCACCTAACAACAAGACTAGGTCACAACCACATTTACCGTCTTCCGTCACTCGCAAAACGAACCGAATCAAAATCGCCCGTTTTGATGTCTTCTCGTCCGTTTATTTTGCGCATCCGGTTGGTCTCTCTCTACCTTAGAACCAGCCCGATCAAGAAAAATCGAGGCTGCTGTTGAGATGCTTCAACTCGTAATCAAAAACAATCCACACCCCCTTAAAACGAACCCGGTTCCCGCTGCGTTTGCCCCACAGCGAAAGGCTACGGTATTTTTGAAACCGACTCTCAAACCGGCACCGTCTTCACCTTGCTCTGATACCAAATAAAGAGGTAATTGCATAAACTCGCAAAATTTATTATTGAAGAAAACTATCTCGAAAAACTCCAATTCCACTATTACAGGATCCTATCAGGCATCTATATATACCGAACAAAACACATCAGTATAAGCCTAGGAAACTGAAAGTAAACATCTAATACTTTCCATAAATTAGATTGCTTGGACCCCAAAACTTAGGATTCCAACATCGCTTACGTCGGGCCTATAACAACTGTGAAAACAACTGTGGGCGAAGGCAGTTTCGAGAACAAAACACGAGTAAGTTTCAGCGACAAGCAGACCGGATCCTATGGCCGAGCAACAGCAACTGAGAAGGCGTCCACCGGAGACTTCCAGTGGCAGAACGGAAAGAGTGGAACCAGGAGTGAATACAAGGAAAGCTCTACGGTCAGAGTCGGAGACAAGAGTGGCTACACTGAGGTTTACAACGAGCAGAGGGTTCGTAATGTGAGAGTTCGTAATGTGAGTTTCAACAACAATGGCAGCAAGAGCGTCATAACCTATGACAATGGCGATGGTGGGTATGGCTATAGGTATGGGGGTGGTTATGATTCTGACTAGGTTAATCCTAGGGTTTATCTGGGTAATGGGTATGTTTTAGGTTTATGAGAATCTGATCTTGGAATAAAGTTTCTCCAGATCTTCATCTGTTTGAACTTGGAAGCATCATTATCTGCTAATGTTTGCTTTTGCAATGATCATATTTTATCATCACGAATTCTTCCACACCAAAGCTTTATTAAAAGGGATTTTAATATAATGTGAAATATGTGATAAGTTTTTTAAGATAAATTAAATGGGGCATAATTTGTGTAAATATTCTGGAGTCGGATTTACAATACTAAAATAATGATTGTATCACTGTATGTAAGAGTTTGGGATATTATTTTGTTCGCTTTTTTTAAATAATGAGGAAAAGTGATTGAATTGTGCTTTAGGTGATATTTTTCTAGATTCAATACCAATGCAAACTCTTAAACACAAAATATAATCACATCCTTTTTATTAGCTACAATGAACAATAGGGTTAATTACTTAGTTTTTACTCATAAATAACGACATTCAAACGATCATGATTAAGAAAAATAACATCCTTTGCAGATTCGATGAAGCCCATAATGAAAACTTCATAGAAACCTCTAGGGCTCTGTTTAAAATTGCAAAAAAAAAAAAAAAAAAAAAAAAAAGATTTAAAATTTATTCTATGTTGTGAAACAAGGAACCTTGATATATGAGTAAACCAAATTTAAAATAATATTTTAACATAGTTGTTTAATATTTATAAAGAATTAATAATCCTTATCATAGATAGTAAGATAACATATATACATATTTTGTTTGTACTCACTATGAATCATTTTGTTTGCGTTACCAAAAACAACATAGATTTCCTTTTATCATATATTAGATTCATATATTTTTAATGAGAAAGAGTGTGCGCCTTTTTAAATCCACCAATATGTTTTTAAACCTGTCTAGTTTATTAACAAATACTCCCTGGCCTTCCTCGTTAAGAGAGGCATCCAAAATGGAATGTTCTCAAGAGAATACAAAATTTCTGGAAAAACTCTTTAGCTGAACAAAGTTGCATAATATAGAAAGACAAGAAGGTCGTTTTATAGCAATCTTATATGTTGCGACATGTGGTCAACTATATTGGGAACATCTACCCAATTTTAAATGATACTAGTGTGTTTTTTTGTTTTGTACATGTAATTTCATATTGTTAAATGCACATTAATATTTGTCTATTTAACGTATTTTTATGAAATGTTTGAAAAAATAATTATATTACTTTTTAGTGCACTAAAACTCTTGTATATTCTCAAAGTGTTATTATAATCTTTTTGTCTTTTTTACCTTAAAAAACCTTAATCTATTTTCATCCAACCATTACAACAACAATTATATTATTTTTTTTTAGCGCATCAAAATCCTTATATTTTTTGAAAATTTTTAATCTCATGGATTGTAACCATCAAACCATTGAGAAATTGATTATCTAACATTTTTTTTGCTATTTAGGGTTTACCGAACTCAAAGCCTTAAATTAAACATTTTAAAAAATATAAAGATTTTAACATACAAAAAAATAATATATTTATTTTTTTTAAACATATGATAAAAATATGTTGGTGTTTCATAGGATTTTCTCTTTTATCTATTCTCATGTTCTCTATTCTCATGGTATCCTAACTGTTTATGGTTTGGCCATTTTGAGATTGTGTATAAGGGCATGATAAACAATGATGAACACCATGAGTGTGTAGGAGATCTTTAAAAACTGTCATTATTAAATTTTCCATCTCCATCGCTTTGAAATTATTTAATTTTACGAGAGAGGTAGCTTCTAACCAAGGCTTGAAATTTCTTTAAAACATCAACAAATTCTAATTTAGATTGCAACACATAAAGCCAAGAAAATCTTGAAAAATCATCAAAAATTAATGTGTAATACCAAACACTATTGAATTATGTAATAAGAGTCGATCCTCAAAGCAAAGGCCATAGTGTATCAAATCAAGAGTAAATATTGAACGTTTTTCATTAATAGCAAACAAAAATCAATTGTATCAAATCAAGAGTAAATATTGAACGTTTTTCATTAATAGCAAACAAAAATCAATGGCTTTTTCACGATTGAAAAGGTGCACAAATTTTACGATCTGGCAATAATGAAGATACATAATATCATTGTATATTTTAAATAGAAATAACAGGATGACAAGTATGACCAAACTGGGCATGCCAAAGAGAAAAATGAGTCATGAATAATGTATCTTCATAATGCAGTAGAGAACACTGAGTGAGCCTTACGAAGCACATATAAGTCACCTTCAAGATGCCCTTGGTTCAACGGGTTCCTTTTTTTTTTTTTTTTTTTTTTTTTTTTTTTTTAACAAAGAATTTTATAAATGAAACTAACAAGAAGCTAGAAATTACAAAGCAATAGATAGAGTTGTATTTTTAAACCAATCAACCCAACTAACATTTGTTTTATTGTTTCTAAGAACAAACCAATTAAACGAGAAATCAACTATATCATCAAAAAATAAGCTTTTTGGTCGGGAGAGACTCCCTAAAAATAACATTGTTACAGAACCTCCAGATCACCCATAAAATCATTTGAATAATTGACTCCAAAGCCGCCTTCATTTTAGAAGAAAGAGAGATCATTTTCAACCAAACAAATAATTCTCGATACTAGAGAAACCTGGAAAACCAAATCCACCCATCTAAACACCCTTGGCCAAATAAAAGAAGCCTCTTCACACAAAAGCAAGACATGATCAGTTTTTTCCACAAGTTTTAAACATAACAGACAGAGCAATGAAGGAATATCCAAACCTTTTAGATTTAGACTCCACCTTGTAGGTAAATGATCCAATTACACCGGCCAAGTAAAGATATTTACTATCCTAGGCACAAAACAATTCCATTTAGTTTCATAAGTACCATCTGACAAGCACTGCAAATCAATAACTTTCAGAACATCTTTCACCATGAATCCAATAATCCCATTCATCTCCCATTGCCAATAATCTTACTCTGGATTTGGCTGAAAAGTACCGATGAGAACAAGGAGATCATCAAGTTGCCTATGAAAAGTTCTACCATCAAAATGATGACTCCAAGACCAAGACCACCCATCAACCCATCGATCTTGAATAGTACACTCTCGATTTTTTTCAAGATAAAACAACCACAAAAGCCATCTTGTAAGGGAACATCACCTACCCAAGTGTCTTGCCAAAATCGAGTATTCCTTCCATTCCTAATTCTTTTTTCGTAGGCAATATTAAGGAATAACTCCTCTTTCATGCATAGTGTTTATCGAACCAATGATGCAAGACCACACGGTCACACCCCTGAAGTAATACTAGAATTAGAAAAAATGTGACATGTAGTGTACCCATACAAGGAAGATATCTTCACCCATAAAGAATCTCTTTCTTTTTAAAAATTACATCGCCACTTTTGAATCGGAACATGGTTAAGAGCCTCAAGGCTACCAAAACCGATCCCACCTTTCTCTTTAGACATCAAAACCATATTCCAGTTAACCCAAGAAGGTCTTTTTGAACTCCCATCAAAACCCCAAAATAACTTTGCATACGTAATGGTTCTAAACATTTCTTTACTTAAACTGGCATTACAAAAAGGGACATATAATAATTCCCTAAAGAACCTAAAACCAAAGCAATTAAAATGGATCCATCACCAATTGATAACATATTTTATTTCCATAAAGAATTTTTTTATGAATAATAAAAGAATCGTGGGAAAAAGAATATCAACTTTATAATCACAAGTCTATAGACTAAGAGATAAAGGTTATTGGTCAAATGTTGTACTACCAAAACATTAATTAGTTTAAGATCGGGAGTAATTTTGTAAGAATAGTACGATATATACCAAGAGAGGTGTCGTTACCGGCAACTACTCTAATGTTAACTTCATAAGTGAATGACGTGTTAAGAGTAGAAGCTTAAGACGATGTGATCGGTGGCACCCATATCAACATACCAGTTAACAACACGGAAGAAGTACACAAGTTAGAAAATGTTTCTAAAATATTGGCATCAATTGTATGGAGCCTCAAAAGTGTAGTATTATGAGAAAGAAATATCCTTATGGTATTCAGTGTAAATTATATGTAAAATATTTGACAATGATGAGTATATGAGTGTTTACCACCATGACCATTTCTTTAGTGACCACATAAACCCTAATTAATGGGGTAGTAAGACTATCAAAATGATTAGTGTTGTGGGGTTGTTGATTTGTGCAAGTCAATGCAAGGTTTTGAGTGTAACTGTACAACGCCACTTGCGGTGATGAGCGATGCGCCATTGTGTAACACCCGCTTCAAGGTATTTTTCATTTTGACATTTGGTGTGTAATTAGTTTGTAATTTTGGTCCTTATGGCCATTATTGTAATTTTTAGGATGGACATGCGTACGTTGGGCGTGCATCCTTGTATGTCAGGTGTTCGTAGTCAGGGGACAAATCCCTATTTAAGGAACCTTATGTCCCAATGTTCTCTTATTTCCCAGCCTCCATTGCCCTTTTGAGTCCCATTTTAAAACCCTAGCTCATCTAGAGAGATTTAACCCTTAATATGTGTTTAGTGGGTGTTTGGTGAACCTTGAAGAAGAAGAAACTTGGAGAAGGAGCCTTGATCAAGTAGAAGCTTGCAGATCCATAATTAATGCTCATTTATCAGCTTTTATTATGGTATAAAGCTTCTATCTTGATGACTCTATTGTTAGATCTATTATAGGGCTCGTTTTGAGCACATTTTGGTGTAACATCCTAAAATTGAAGATTATGTTCTTAAACTAATAGAGTAAATATATGAAAATGATTTATAAAGTTAAATCGTTAACGAATAATCATACAATTAGTTGATATGAAGTTTAGAAAGTTAGAAGTAAAAATGATAACATTTTAAAAAATTAAAGGGCCAAAGGTGTCAAGTTGGCAAAGTGAATTGACTCAATTAATGGAAGGGGCTAGAAAAGTTATATAAAGGATGGGAAAGGAATTATTTTGTCAA